CATGGGCATACATTATACATGGGAGCACGTGTATACCATGGGAAATGGTAAAACGTGGTATGTGCACACAGTTTATATGTACACACAGGTGAGTTCATGTGTGGGAATGTGCAGCTTGGATGTGCAGGAGTGTGTGCCTGTGGGATGTTGTGGCTGTGTACACACTGACACTGTCCATTCAGCATATGGGAAGAGCACAGGACTCAGGAAATCAGGATTTTGCCTCTCACTTGCTGTGCACTTTTGAGTGAGGCACTTTCCCTCTCAGGATCACCCCCTCCCCCAACCCACACCTGGAAAAATGAAACTGTTTTATTCAAGACTCCCTGAGGGCACCCTCTAACAATGGGACTGCTTTTAATGACTGGCTTGTAAAGCATAGGGAGGTGGGAACTGGCAGTCTCCAGTCCTGCCCCTTTCCACAAGTTGCCACACAAAAAGTCTCTCACCTGAGTTCAAAGTAGGAGAGGAGAGCCAGGTCTGTGGTGGGGGTGATGAGGAAGAGAGCCATACTCTGCCCCCTCCCCCAGAAGAGTGAATAAAATCTCCAGTTGAACCTATGGTGACATCGGATTAGATGGGCCCTAGAAAATGAGACAAAATCAGGGAACCACTGCTCCAGGGCCTCCTTGCTCCTCCCCACCCCATTCTCAAGTCTGTGCATGGGGTTGCCTATATTGCCAGGGGAATAGCTTTGCCTCAACCACAAAGACAAAAAAAAACAGGTTGCCTGTTGGAGGAACTGATGGCTGCCCAGAGAAGCCACAGCAGACATCCAGGGCAAGGGGTCTGACAGGGCCTCTCTGACCCTGGCCTTGGCTTCTATTTTGCCCAAAGCTCATCTCTGTACTGCAAGTAGGCTTTTTTTAAATTTATTTTATTTTTTACTTAGGACATTGGGGAAAGGGTGTCTGGAGCACAGTGACCTCTCTGATGATATGATCGCTAGACTACCTTACTTCCACAGGTAGTAAGACTGTGCAGGCCAGGTAGTAGGCAGGCTATTAGGTCTCTCTTTCTCTATGCCCTGTGCAGCTCAGCTTAAGGGGCCAGAGAATTGGGTACACATGCACCCATAAACACCAAACATTCACATACCTAAAACACATACTTTCACCTCCCAATCCTAATTAATATTCTCAGTACCACCCCTACACAAATGCCTACACATAATACAACCCACTTGCACACAAGCTCACACAGAAATGCAGTGCAGCCCCGTACACCTAAATATCCCCCTCCTTCCTCCACCCTATCTCCCTGACTCTACTGAAGAAAAGGGAGTTTCCAGAAGAAAAACAGAGACCTTTGGCCTCAGAAAGAGCCAGGAATCAATACTGTTTAGATTTGGCTAGTGTGTATTTCCTGCTGGGTTGAGGAAGATTTAAGTTTATGGTTCAATCCAATCTTTACCCCCCCCCAAAAAAAAAGATAGAAAATGAGGAAGTGGGGATATCAGACTCTGGTATTTATTTCGATGCAGTCTCAGACTTTAATACACTGGCAGCTCACTAAGCCAGCCCCATAAATCAAAACTATCAATGTCTGTTTATAGCATTGATAAAGAAAGTTATTACTACTGCGGGGGGAGGGGCTGGGATGGGAGTAAAAAACAGAAAACTGTACTTGAACAATAATTAAATAATTTTTAAAAAATGATAGAAAAGAAAAAAAGAAAGTTATTACTACTGCCTTTTTTTTAGAGGAGGGTGCAAGAACAAGGTCTGACCAGAGTCCTCTTCCCCTCTGCCCCAATCAGAAAGAAGGAAATGGGATGGAGGGAGAATAGAAGATGGGAAAGTCATTCTGGAGGGCTGACTTCAGGGCTTTGGACAGATTTCTGAGGTAAAGGCAATTGTACAGAGTAGATATGACATAGAGAAAGACACACAGCCACAGAGGAGGCAGGGACCAAATGTTTAAGTCCTGAGAGCTTCAGTTTCCTCCACTGAACAAGGAAGAAAATTCTCTTTGCCCAAAGTAATTGAACAAAAAAAGGAGATAATAGACAACAAATCAAATTACATAACAATGACACATCTCAACCCTTTATTAATATAATCATGGGAAGGGATAACTACCTCCTCCCTTTTCCCCAGGGTTAAGGGGAAGAGTTCTTGGCTTTGATCTCTCAGAAGAGGTGAACAGGAGCCTTAAGGAGCAGAATGCCTCCTGGAGTTGCTGCTCACACTGGTCCCTGACCCAACCTCTGGATCTGGTCACCTTGAGGGGCTTAAGCATCCTATGGGCCCACACTAATGAAGGTAGAAGAAAGAGTAGCCCCATTTCTAGACACTCAAAACATTAAGGTTCTCTGTAGAGCTGGACACCACCCAACATGGGATCGGGATGTGGCCAGTAACCTTATTAGTGTTCTGAATGGTCTAGATTCAGAAAGGAGTACCCTGGACCCCAAGTCTCAGACCCTGTAACAAACCGGCCTGGAGAAATTAAACATAATAGGTTCCCCTCTCCCCCAAGGTAAAAAAAAATGTACTTCTCACCACCAGAAAACAATTCACTTGGGCCAGCCTACTGAAAGGCCATCTCACTGCTCCCAACTCTTCACACAAGGTTGGCTGAGCAACTATTATGTGCAAAGGTTACTTCACATACTCTAAGGTGTGAAAGGCATAGAAGAAAGAGATTAACTGCAATAAAGTTTGGAACCCAAGACAATGTCCAATATGCTCTCCAACTCCAGGCCTACAAAACACCTAGTCCCCAAAGCATAGAGTAGGAACTTGGAGGACCCCTGTGTTTCCTGGACCTGGAGCCAAGCACTGTAACTTCCCTGGATGTAGGCCTCAATCAGGGGAACATTTTCAAGTAAAAAAAAAAGCAGAATGATTGGCCACTCTCACTTCTCACAAAAATCAATCCTGTAAAAACAAGAAAGAAACCCAAAGAAAGCACAGAGAAACAGTTTCCATGTATGCATGCATACACACACACCTGCAAACATCCTGGCAGGCAAACACAAATGAGCACATGTATGCACACCAAAAACACACAAACATCCAAATGTGTGTCTAATTACAGAGAAATGGACAGCCAGTAGCACAATACTTGTGCAGAGATACACAACACCAAGTAGGTACTCATGCACCAATATCTGCACGTAATCACATATACTCACAAGTTTTCGAGCACACCTAGACAGCTAACCACACAAGTGCAGATAGGTATATACAAGCATATTGCAGAAGAAGGGGGAAAAGAGGAGAGCAGGATTTACTATTTTTTAAAATCTTAACAAAAGGGAGATGATACCTCCTGAGGAGGGCCTTCCCCTTTCTATTCCTTGTCCTGGAATTTCGGCGGTCCCATTGCCTGCCCGAGAAGGAGATGTCCAGGGTCAGGGGCAAAAAATTTTCTACTTGTGGGAAGTCTGGGTGTCCTAAAGGTCCACGGAGCTTGCTTCTGAGCTCTCCATCCACCAGGAAGCAAGCCAGGCTTTGTTAGGAATTCTGAAAGCCTCCCCTTTCCGCCTACCCCCCTCCCCCCGCCCCATTAGGGTTTGGGTGGGGACGAGATAGGCCTGTGCCCACGTCGGAGGTCCGCGCCGGTGGGAACCCAGCATCAAGACCCATCATCTGCCACTTTGAATATGTTCCTGACATCCAGGCCTCTTCTCTCCTGGCTTTGCGACTTTTCCGGACAGGAAATCTGAGCCCTACAAGGCTCTGTGTGCTGCCCTTGCCTCGCCGGGGGCGCGAACATAATCTCTTCTCCAGGGAAAGAGAAGCCGGAATGAGCGGTCCTCAAACTAGTGTGCTGCTCAGGACCAGAGGCAGCCCCAAACCGCTGCCCAGCCCTGCAAAGGCCTGCTATTGGGGGGGGGGGGGGGGACCCTCAGAACCTCAAGCGAAACCCGCACCAGAAAAAAAAAAAAAAAGCACAGTCTGAAGCGAGAAACAGGTTGAACAGGAGGAGGCCGCAGAGGGTCAGGCCCAGCCGGCCAGGGCCAGGGAGCCACCCGACAGCCGGACAGTGCTTCCGAAGTCAGGCTTGGGGTTTCCGGCCTGTGGGCTCCTTTGAACGCAATCAGAAACTAGGCGTGTCCCTCCAGACTCTCCAGACCCGGTCTGTACCCGGATCCGGGTCACCGCTACTACCCCGAGTCCCCCTTGTCCCCGTATTCGTTGTGCAGCGGTCCAGTGGGTGCGCCCGCTCCCTTCCCCAGCCCGCAAAGAGGAGGGCCGCCAGCGGCTCATGAGCACAGTGTACACTTTATTTCAGACTACAGGTTTTTGAACATAATAAAATCTTTGGCTTGTAGCGGCGGTTCAGTCTCGCAGTCTGTGGGGTCGTATTTCTCAAAATGTCTTAGGAAAACGAAAGGTGGGCAGGACAGACAGAGCGACAGAAAGGGGCTTTGGGAAGCGGGAGAGAGGCGAGGGGCGGACACGCGAGGGAACACACTCTCACGCACACAAAGAAAAGTCCCAGAGAAACGGGGGCCAGCGATGTGGGTCCGGAGGCACCGGAGAAGCGAAAACATTCAAAAGAAAAAGGCAACGAAAACGAAACTGGGCCGGGGTCAGCAAGGCGGGGATGGGGGATAAAATAATTATAATAATTATAATAATTATAACAATAATAATAATGGAGATTAATAAAAAGTCCAGCAAATAGAGATCGCTACACATTTCTTTTCCTTACCTGAAATTAAATATATACAAGGTCGTAAGCGGTTTGGCTAGATAGAGCTTTAAGGAGTTCGCAGTTTCGTCCCTTATGCTGTGAACAGAGAATAGATCTTATTTTTCAATAGCACCTGTCTGAGTCTCTCTCCCTTTAAAAAATGTTGCGTTGTACTCGAACGTCACTCTCCATTCCGAGGAGCGCTCTGTCTTTCCCCTGTGGCTCCTTCTCTCCTCTGCGCTGATTTTCTTCTCCCGGGAGCTGGGCCGGCAAGGCGGCGGCGGCGCTGCCCGGAGGGGCGCGGGCTCCGGCGCGGGCGCGGCGGCCGGACCTTGCGGCTCCGCCGGCAGCGGCTACTCGCTCTCGTCTTTGTCCTGGACCGTGGTGGTGGAGTGGTTGTACAGTCCCTGCGCCATGAGGTGCAGCGCCAGGCCGTTCTTGATGCCTGTGGCTTTCTTGATCTTGGCGCGCTTGTTCTGGAACCAGATCTTGATCTGCGACTCGTTGAGGCTGAGCTCCTGGGCCAGAGTCTGCCGCCGCTGTTCCGTGATGTAGCGGTTCGCCTGGAACTCCGCCTTGAGTCTCTGCAGCTGCTCGGCCGTGAACGCTGTCCGAGGCCTCTTGTCCTCCTTCTCGTTCTTCTTCTTCTTCAGCTTCCTAGTGCGCGGACCTGCAGCGGAGGAGAGGGCCGGGTCGGGGGGGGGGGGGGGGGGAGGACAGAGGGGAGGGGGAGAGGACGGAGAGAGCCGTGAGACTTGCAGAGCGCAGCGGGGATCGCGCCCCGTGCTTCCGGGGTGAGAGACCAGGCCCTGCTGCGCCCCGGCTCCTTCCCAGCGGCTAGCCCCTGCAACTACCGCCTGGCCGCTGGGGTCACTGGGTTCCCTTCTCCGGGGCCAGAAAGGCGCGGAGGAAAACTGGCAGAGGTTGTTTTGTGGAATTCACACCCCAATTCAAAACAGAACATTCATGTGTCAGGCTTAAATCACAGAATCCAAGATGGAGAGATATTTGGATCCCCTACCTGCCCGGTCCAAAGTTGGAGGTCAGGGGCCTGCTGTCTCCACAGCTCTGCAATAAAAAGACGCTCAAGGCTGGGGCAGTGAAGACACTAAGCCAGGACCGTCCCAGAGGAATCGCCATCCTCTTTTCCTTCTGAAGAAGCACATCTACTCCCTGGCACCTACAATAAGACCCCCCAACTGCTTATGGCTATTTACCCCAGAAAACAAGTGGATAGGGAAAGGGTTGTGAAAGGTTTAACTAGTTCCAAAGTATTCAGTATCTACTCTACCTCCTTTTTTTTTTTTTTTACCCTGTTGGCCTAAAGACACCTTTTCCAGGGTCCTAGAAAGACACTGACCACTCCCTTCTTTGAAGGGGGGATAAGGCCTTCACTCAGTTGCATGCCTTAACCACATGGCCACTGGGTTCTCCACTATGCTCCTTGGATGATGCCAGTAAAAAAGAGAGAGCCCTCCCGGCTCCTCCACCCAGCCTCAGAGGCAGGGTCTCCTTTATCTCTTTTGAACACATAAGCTGCAATTTCAGAATTGAAAACTTCTGAATGACAAAAACAAGTCAGATCTGCTTTCTTTGCCCACCTATGTCATTTACAATGAGACTACATCCTTCCTGCCACCACCCTCCATTATGAGCAAAATAGGGACAGAGGAATGCAGACAGGGGGACAAAACCAAAAACAAACAAAATAAAACCTCTGTGCTTTGTCCCTAACAAGGATATGGAAAGAGGCCACAGGTCACCTCCCTAGGAAGGGAAAGTTGCTCTAAAACTCAGCTCGTAAGAGGATTGCTATGGACCTGGCCTGGAGAGAAGAGGAAGAGCTGGGAGACGGCCTCCATATCCCAGTCTTCTGGACTTTACTTCCTGGGCCCCGTGTCTCGGTTTTGGGAGTGTACTGAACCCAGTTACGTCCCTCTCAGGCCTGTTAATCTCTAAAACTGTCGGGCAAGAGGGGTCTTCACCAGCATCTCCAAACCTAGTGACAAAGGGGCAAGCTGCAGCTGGCTCCTGGGGCAGGCCAGCACCTGGAGTCACCATCCATCCAGTGACAAAAGAGTCTAGGCTTGGTCATCCACGGAGGCTTAGGTGGCTTGAGGTTCATTTTCCTTAACTGCCCATACAGGAGAAGGAGGCAGTACCCTGCCTCCCCACTCAACTAAGAAGGAAAGAGGCCAAGAACAAAGACAAGGCCCACTACGGAGCGGAGTGGGAGAGGACCGGCAGGCGGGCTGGGTAGGGGACGAAAGGCCTTGGTTTAGATTAGTAATTAGCTGAGCAGGCAGAGATGATCCAGGAAATGTGCACAGCCCCAGAAAGGCCTCACTGCATTGTGTGTCCTGGACGTTGTTAGAGTGGTGTGTGTGTGCGCGCACGCAGAGGCACGGACACTTGTAATAAAATCGTAGTTTCGCGGCCAGCCTGAGTCGCAGGGCCTGACAGCTCAATCACTCTATCCATCAGGCGAGTCAATCAAAGCAGCTTTTCGGAGGTTCAGGGAGCCCGACGTGTCAATAACCGGGCTGAGATGGCGGGGGCTGATAGCGCGCATCGATCCGCGCTGGGCCGGCCGGCACCCGCCGGGCGGCTTAGATTGCAGCCGGAGCAGAGCTGCGCGCAGGGCTACGCTTTGCAGGGCCTGGTGCGGGGGCCCAGGTGCCCGGAACCAAGTCGCAGGCCAGAGTCTCTGCCGCCTTCCGCGTAGCACCCACAAGCCAACCTGGCGCTGCGGGCCAGAGAGACAGGCAGGCCTTAGCCTCCTCTCCCGGGCCTAGTGGCCTCATTCTCCTCTCCGAGGACAGATCTCGGCCTTGAGTTCTCCGAGCGCAAGGGATATGAGGAAAAGCGGCCAAAGGAAAATAAAGAAAAAGGGGCCTACGGCTGCTGGAGATTTGCTAACTAGCAGATGTGTGTGTGGTAGGAAGGAGTTAAGGAAGGAGAAGGGTGTGCGAGCCACCTCGGAGAGGCTGTGGAAGGCTGGCTCCCAGGTCCTCGCTCCGATTTCTGGCCTGAGCCTGACCTGTCCTCTCCTCTCCCACCATCGGTCTGTCAGCTCTGGAGAACCAGGAGCCAGGCGCTTCGGCTCCCTACGTTTTGGCAACCGCCTTTCCATAGATTCTACCCACCCGGGTCAGACTTTCTTGGCTAACCGGCCTGGGAAGAGGGACACCGGTCAGATGCTTTCCTCTTTTCCTGTGTGTTCTCAAATCTGTCTCTGTGTAAATGAATGCTGCACAGAAACTATCGAGATGGTGTTTATGTCTGCAAGAACACTAAGACGAAGATTATTTCACTGATCAAAGCCTTGCTGGATTTCGGCCTCCGCAGGACCAGGCTGGCGGGATTGGAGACCCCAATCACTAGGCCCATCTTCCCGGCAGCTCTAAATACCCCTTTTTCTGGAGGGGGGGGACAGTGACTGACTCTGTTTTCCTAATATTAATAATACAGGTAAAATACAAAGAAGACCCAAAAAGCTCGGAGTTAAAAACCGAAGGATGGAGATTGAGCTTCCAGGAAGTGCTGTGAGCTGTAGCCTCCCGGGTGGTGGCCGCAGAAGCCAGAAGTTCAGAACTGGGTGCACACTGGGATCAGGGCTGAGTTATGAGCCCTGGGTTATGACTGGGATCAGGACTGAGCAGGAGGAAGCAGGGGTGAGAGAAGGGAGCTCCTAATGCTGGGTTTGCTCTCCCCAGCACGGCGGCTAAGAGTTCTGGGGCGAAAGCAGGGCCGTGTGGCAAGGCTCAGCCCCGGGCTGGGTACTCACCAGAGGATGGACGATCCGAGTAGCGTGTGCAGTACACCCAGGCGGGCCACACGAGGGGCTGCTGCGAGTCAGTTTTGACCACGGGCCCGCCGTTGGCTGCGCCCATAAGCAGGATGGCAGGGTTGCCGTGCTCCGGATACTTAGCACCCTGCGCACCTGGGCTCCCCACGCTGCCTCCACTGCCGCCGCCGCTGTCCGAAGGCTTGGCCGTAGCTGCCGCTGCTGCCGCTGCCACAGCCGCTGCAGCCGCCGCCGCCGAAGCTGCTGGGTTCCCAGCTTTGGACGCCCCGGCGCTTCCCGCGGCGCCTGGCGGAGAGCTGTCGGGTGGGCCACAGTTTGCGTCCGAGGCACACAAGAGCGAGGCGGCTCCTGTCGCACGCGTGCCCAGCGGGTGGACAGGGTCTCTACCTGAGCCGGTCTGGCCTCTGTCACGCTCGAGTCGGCCTCCTCCGCCTCCTCCAGCCGCCGCCGCCACCAGGAGCTGTGGCGGCGCCTGCTCCTTTTTGCAGCCGAAGTCCGGCCTCAGGATGTTGTCGATGAAAAAGTTGGTGGTGCGGTGCAGCTGGGCCGCGGGCTGAGGCTGGTGAGCAGGCGCTGCGAGATGCGGCGGCGGCGGGGGCGGGGGGAGGTGCGGGTGGTGGGCCAAGGGCGGCAGGCAGGGCGCCGCGGGCGGCGAGGGGGGCACGGGCTGCGGGGACACGGGCATGCTGTCTCCATCACTGCCGCTGCTGCCGCTGGCGCCGGGGCTGAGGCTCAAGCTGAGGCTGCCCGGGGCTGCTGCCACCGCGGCCGCGTTGAGGCCCGAGTCGCGATGACTTTTAGGTTCCGGCTGCTGTTCTTCCATGCTCCGCCGCCCCGCCGCCCGGGCCGCCTCGCCGGCCCCCGCCCCACCCCCCGCCTCGCTTCCCACCCCACTTTGCCAGCGGCCGCGGGGGTGCACGGAGGAAGAAGGCCGGCGAAACCCCAGCGAAGGCACGAAGGGGGGAAAAAAGGGGGAAAAAAAGGGAGGGGGGGAAGCCCAGGCGCCTGGCCTGGTTCGCTCGCTCTTATCGAGCAGCTAGATCTCGCTGTCTCAACTCTCTCTAATTTGTAGACATCCAGATATGGAGACACTTGGCTATTTCTTTTTTTCTTTCTGCAGCCAGATTCAATGATGTGTTTTAAATGGGGAGAAAGCCACAGCCAAAAAGGAAAAAAAAAAGGCAATAAAAGAAAAAAGAAAGCAAGAAGGAAAAAAAATCTCCAAGAAATTTTTATCTTAAAGGAAAAAAGAAACAGGCTTTAAAGTCTAGCCATCTTCCTAGGCAGTAGTGAGGGATTTGACTTCCCGGAGTGTCACGCTCAGCTGTGCCCAGAGCGCGAGGCTGGCAGCGCCTTTAATCGCCTTTGGTTTTTTTGCTGGGAGAGCGCGTCTCCGCCAGCGCCGAGCTGCCTTTTTTTTTTTTTTTTTTTTTTTAAATCTCTGACAGCTCGGATCTTTGCACAAACTCTCTCGCTTAAAAAAAAAATCACCCAGGCACACTTTTTGCCTTCAAACCGGAAGCACGTGAGTCAGGGCCGCACGTGTGCGGGGCCAATGGCAAGCCAGGACTCGCGCTGACACCCGGGCCCCGGCCCAATGGGTGAGCGCGGGACTTTGCGGATAAATAATCCGGAGGAGGCGGCCGCGGGCTGAGTGGGGGCGACTCCAAGTGGGCTGGGTGCGTCCGGCCCGCCCTCTCCCACCCGCACCCGAGCCCCTCCCACTCTCTCACGCAGAGACCTACCAAGGGGCAAAGGAGACAGGGAGGGGTGGATTTCGAGGTGTAGGCAAATACAGAAGCAACTCCATAAACAACTTGTTGGAGAAATGTAGGGTTGCGGGTGCATGCGCGCCGGGTGCGCGGTCAGGAGACTGGGACCTCTGCTCTCCTGCACCGCAAGCCGAAGGAACCCAGCCTTGCATTTTCTCTCTCTCTCTCTTTTTTTTCCTGCTGTTTTGAAGGGTGGAAGTCGGCACTGTCCGAGTGTGTTGTGAAGGGGAGGAGTAAAACGAGGAAGGTCGGAGAGATGTCAAGTAGACCTAGAATTGGTTACTTTCAAAGAAGCAGTTTATTTTTCACAAACAGCAAACCCCACAGGCCAGCTGCGCCTCTCTAGAACCATCTGTAGGTCTGCAATTCATGACAGCCCGCTGCACTAGGTGTTCTTAACCGGGTGTCCGTACCATTCCCTTCCCTGTCCGGACCTTCAACAACCCCCGTGAGATAGATGTTCTGGTGCCATTAAGCCAGGCCCAGAGGGAGCGAGAGAGCTCAACTGCTGCTCGAGCCCGGTGCCTTTTCCTTCCGTGACTGTTGGGAGTCGAAGCGGTCCAGGCATCACAGAGTTATCCCGCACAGGCCCCTGGACCAAGCAAGTCAGGATGCGAATGTGCCCAAGGCCCGAGATTTTGGGTTCAGGGCAACCTCCTTGTTAAATTTCCCTGCAAAGTGAAATCAAAGTACTGCAACCCAGGTGTTTGCCCTAGCCAGCTAATGACGGGACAGCGAGTTTCTTCCCTGTTACCTAGACTTTCCAGCGATTGCTCCTGCATGTTTCCCCCAACACTGCTTTGGTGGACTGGGGGGACCTGCGCCTCTTCCACGCTCATGGAGATCCGTCAGCGTCCACTAGGTTTTTTTTCTCTGTTTTCATCGCCCAGGCTGGGGGGGGGGGGCGGGTAGGTGAGGTGCTGGACACCGGCGCAGGGATTATGAGCTGAGCGGTTTGGGAGGGCCAAGTCCGACTGTGCGCTACAACCTGCAGGGGAGGGTGGCGACTAGAAGGCTCCCTCAACTGTGGCCTTCGCGGGGATGTCTTCTTGGAGCTCCCGAGAGCCTGCTCACCCTGACCTCCATCTTCAACTAGGACAGCTGAGAGAGAAAGGATCTCTTGGAAGATATTGTCTAGTGGGGAACATGCAAAATAATCCCTCCTGCTCAGAAAAGTCACAGGATGTACGGAAAAAATAAAGCGAAAACCACAACCAGCAGAACCGGCTCAGTAGCTGAACTTTCTCTGAGGGGCTGGTCGAGAGCGGGAGTTCGCATTGCTGACTGTCTCCGGTCAGCCGAAGGTCTTCTCTACTCCAGCGCTGGAGTTGTTAGACCCGCTGCCGCGCGGCCTGAGGGCAGCGAGAACCACTCTTCCGAGCGCTGCGCTGAGCAGGTCCGCCCTGCCCTCCTCAATCTTCCCAAGCCGCCCCTCAAACCCACCTTGGAGACACTCCAGCTGTACATCCAAGGGCTCCCCGAAATCTCTCGGTACCCCCACCCTTTTTCCCCCGAAATGGGGGTGGGATTTTATTTATATTTAAGTTCACAAAATTGAAATCTTTATCCCACAAGCGAGCGTGGGTACTTAATTAAATTCTAATTAGGACACTATCAATATCCTATTTAGCCGCGTAGCTTTTGTGCACCGCGGTTCCTTTCAGCGCCGTAAATAGGGTCTCGACGCCTTATCTCGCCTGCAGGAGACGCCTCGAGAAGGGCTGCGGAAGATAATTTATAGGTTTTAATTACTCTTCATTCCGCCTGATCAGCTTGGCGTTCATCACAGGCCTGTGAATAAAACCCTGGTCAAAAGCTCTGTCACATCGTGCTGGCAAGACGCTTAATCAAAGTGAGCGGCCCCGCGCGCCGCGCCGCCCGGCTCCTCCACGCAATTTCCAGCCAGCTGATAAAGCCAGCTGAATAATGCGGCGGCCCTTTGGAGACACCATTTACAGAAATGACTTTATTGACGGCTTAACGTCGGTAATTCATTTTACCTTTCATGTAGTGGAGCCCGGATTTGTTACAGTAATGGGATGATAAATGCACTCGCGGCCCACGAGCTCTGGGCTGGATTAGGAGACGCTTTGCGCGCTGGCTTGTCCCCCCACTCCCCACCTTCTCCAGGCCAGGCCTGCGCGGGATGGTCTGCACCCAGCGCTGCCAGCTCTCCGCGACCCCGACCTGGGGCCAGATCCTCTCTCTGGTCTGAAAATGAACATACTATTGGGAAGTCGGTGTTAGTGGGAGTGAGGTGTGTGAGTGCTGAAAGTGAGCAAATGTTGGCCAACGCGAGTGTGTGAGGGGTCCTGATGATTCGGAGTAAGCCTAAGACTAGGCATGTGGGTGAGGAAATACCAGCAGGGGAGTTGTGTGTACAAGTGTGTGGGTAAAGGGGCTGTATGTGTAGGGAGCAATATGTGTGCTCATGTGAGTACATTTGTGGCAGTCCTTTTGGGGGTACTGTTTTTGACTTGGAAGTTAAGAAATTTCTTCCAGCTTGACAGATAGCCAGGTGGAGGTGGCAGGGAGGTGGGCTGACAGGAAGCCGTGAGGAAATCTACCTGGAAGGGAGTGGGCATTGGGCCAAAGGTATGGGAGTTTGGGGACACCCAGTGTTCACTTCTACTGCCTTGAAGTTCTCAGCTGTGCAGTTTCCTGGGGCAAGAGGCCCCGCTGAAGCCCATTGACGTTGTCATGTCTATGAAATAAAGTGAGTGTCCCCAAGTTCTGCTTCCATACCCAGCACACAGAAAAATGAAGAATGTCAATGAATAAAACGATTTTGTTTTATTTTAAATGTCAAAAAGGGAGCAAAATCCCCCCTATGATTTCTTTCCTCATTTGAAGGGCAAAGGGGGTCCAAAAGGGGTTTCAGTAGTGGAGGTGGGGTAAACAGGACAAGAAGAAACCACAGCTCCCTTCCTCTCTCCCTTCCCAGACTTCCTCCATCCTGTGCAGCTAACCAGGCGCTTCCACGGATGAAAAGACACCTGGTGAAATAGACAGGGAGAGTGTGTTTGCATGTTTAGGGGTGCTAGAGAAGTTTGGAGATCCTCTAGTAGGAAGTGATGGACGCTCTTCAAAGTGAAGGCTGGGAAATCGCACCTTTCTTTTTGCTCTTTCTCAATCTTTTCTTTCATTTTTCCTCTAATGTTCTTTTTCAATCTTGTAAAAACCACTTACCAATTTGGAGCATGGCCTGTGGCTGTGGGGGCTGGAGCCTGAATTTGTGTGTATTTGCTTGTGTATGTGGCACTCCAGAAAAGTACAAATCTGTAGAAGCATTCTTTTTGTATGTTTGTGTGTGTGGTAGGAGGCTAGTGCATGTAGACATTAGTGTGTACACCCAAGTCTTCCCCACCAGTTGTGCACAGAGAATGTGTTTGCTGAGGGTTTTGGAGTATGCTGCTCCAAAAAGAGAAATCTCCCACCAGCCTGCATTTCAGCAGAATTTTGGGTTTCGTTTAGGCAGATACAAATGTCATGGTCCTGCCTGCTTCCACCTCTCTTTTGAGGATGGGTATGAGGAGGAACATCGCGGGGGGAAAAAAAAACCCTTGCAGCCCTGCCAGACATGTGTGTGAATGGCTGAGAGTGTGAGCTTGTAGCATGCACACGGTGGTAATCGCATTTCGAGTGTAGATCAGATGGCGGTGGGGCCTCGTGGCTCCGGACATGAATGAGTTGTTGCAACACAATAGCACACAGCCTTCCTACGGGGACTGGGTGACCAGCGGTTTTGTTGGGAGTGAATGCAAGGAGATTTCTACTACAAGTGCAGCAGTATTATTATAAGGAGGAAGGTCAGACTATACATCGCAGGTCCCCAAAGCCTATAGACCTTGGGAAATGTGGGGCCTTGAACCACGTCATTATACCTGACAGTCCTTTCAATAGACTAATTCAATTAGCGCTCGTGGTTTGGGTCTTCATTTGGAGGCTTTAATAATGTGGGGGGTGGCTGGGTGCAGGGAATTCGTTGGGTATTGGTGAGGGATCCTACGCGATTCTGCCCGCGCTTGGAGAGGGACTAAGGGAGGTGGGG